AGAGCTAAAGGTATAATGCCATTTAAAGTGTCTTAAGGTGTCTTAGGTCTGCCTGACCTTTAGCTTCTGCAGGTACAGAAAGTTCATGGGTCTTCTGTAGATGCTACGTCAGATTTGCAAGCCCTGTGCCCATGTCTGGGAAACCCAGGGTATCGCAAATGTCACTAAATGCCTATTTTCAGGCAACAGAATTGGGTCCTGAAAACTGAATAAATCTTATCAAAGCCTTGTAAAGGCACAGTTCCTCACTTCCAAATATATACCCAAATAATAGCAATAACTTCCATCAATATTAAATAATTTGGAATATTAAATAATTTGGACAGCCTGCAGAAAGCTTCTGCATTCTGGCTGTGTCATGTCTTTGAGCTCAGTTGGCCCAGCCTGATGTTTTACCTGTAGAAGACCTTGGACAGACAGCTGGCTCAAATTTGCCCTTGCCTTCCCTTCTGGGACAGAGGGTAATTGTTGGTGATTTCTCTGAAGAAGGTAGATGTGGAGCTATTTTTAGATATAGCAGAGCTCTTTGTCACTGCTGTGGCCCATCAGAGATGCTGTCACCTAAGTGACATGGTGACAGCTCCATGCACTGCAAACCACACCAAGCTTTTCATTTTCTTTCATTTCTCTCTTCATTACCTGCACATCCCCTGTAACTATCAGCAATTTCTAGTGCTGGCTTTTTTTTCCCCCAATGTTCTCCTGAACACAATCTCACCAGGTGTCACAGGTATCATTCTTTCATTTATCGCTTATAAATAGTTGCCAAAGTCTGATTTTATGACATTTTAATAGACATTCTTACCATATTGAAGCTGTTTCCTGTCTGGCCTATGCACAGGCATGATCAGGATGAGCACTTGTGAGCCAAAATCCTGTATTTCATAGAAACATGCTTAAACTCATACTACTACAATGATTCATCCTCAGATATTCCTATATGAGGTGCCATGTCTAGTGAAAAGAGGTTTGGTATGTATCATCCTATGTTTACCTGATCTATTTTCAAGAAAAACCTATTTGGGAGACACAGAATAAAACATTAGCAAATGTTCCTAGATGTTTTCCAGGCAACTAAGATAAATCTATGCCTACCATCTAAAAACAAATCTTCTGCAGCCTGTTCATATTTTTTTCAATATCTAAATGCACTCTTATTTACTTCTAAAGATATTTTTCTGTAACTCCTTAGGTATTAGCATACCCATGCCTTTAAAAAAATCCCCTTTTAAAAAGATCCTGAGAGTTCCCATTTACATTGATTATTAGAATGAGGAATATGCAGTCTAAACTACTGTTTGATAACAACTGATTGCTTTCTACACAAGCTCATTCTGAGCAATAGCTCTATCACATAGTCCTGAGATTGATTGCACAGGTACTAAAGATCAGATTGATATGCACATAATCAGCCTCTAGTTTGGTACCCAAATGCTTTTGTCGGAGTGACCTCTTCAGCTTATAACTTATTTAGATGAGGCTGGAAAACTGACATCAATTTTTAGGGTGTGCAACAATTTGGCTGGGCTCCTTTGGTTATGGCAACAAGTTAATTTATGGTCAAGTTTAGATTATATTGGTCTTTTGTATGTAAAGGGAGGAAACCTCAAAGCAAAACTTCCATTTGAGTGCATTGTCAATTTTTTTTATTAGGTCCTCTGCTGCATAAGCGATTGGTCTTCAAGAGGACTGACATATGTAAGCAAAATGCTCCATTCTTTCCCCTCTGCAGTGCCCACAAGGCATAGCTGCTCTCTCAGCAGAAACCACTGCTTGAGTAAAAGAACAAGTCTATCCAGCTTCTATTTCTAGCCTTTGCCTTTGTGGAAATTTCCCATGGGCATTAAGTGTGGGTCAGTGGATCACTTTCAGCTCTATTCTGTACTGTGTAGAGCACTTCTGTCCCTTATCTCATACTCAGTCATTTTGATCATTTTGCTTCCCCAGTGACTATGCTCCTTCTTCCTTCATGCTGCTTTCTGTGGTGCTAAAGGTGAACATCAGGTGTGATTTTAGACCTCAGCTCTAAACCTTCCAGAGCTGCTGAGTGCCCGATTTCAGGCAGCGTCTTAGCTCAGCCACAGGGCTGGCACCTGGGACTGGGGAAGGGAGGGCAGGAGAGTGGTGCAGAGCAGGCAGCCGCCGGGAGCATAGGGAGGCAGAGCTGGGGTGCCTTCTCAGTCTCCTCCCTGTGCTGCTCCATCCCCAATCCCACTCCAGTGTGTTTGCCTGGCCACATCCCTCAGCGGTTGGGGGACACATTCCTAGGGACTCGCTGGGGAAGGGACAGGACATATGCTGGGGCAGGCTTGGGGCTGCAGTAGAGACAGCAATATCACAGCGCAGAGAAGATGGAGGTAGGCAGTCCAGCTCTGCACCATTCCCACCCAGCCCTGTATCACCTGCCCATCCTGCCTGTAGCTCCCTGAGGCTAATCTCAGCTGGATGCACCTGGAGGGGTGACTCCTTTCCTCCCCTCATCTGGAAATTGCTCAGGGGAAGTCCTGGAAAGGGAGCTGGCATGTAGAAAGTCTCCTCAGGGTGTGATGTGTTAAAAAGCCATTTCTCTAATGCTGAGTACAGGTCAGCAAATGCTTAGAGCTGACAGACATTGATGTGGTTCAGAGATGGGTAGGGAAGCATCTAATTCCAGCTCATATGGGCCACACTCAGCTCTTCTTGAAGCACAGATGCAGTAACAATCCATCTTTTGTATAATGGTTCAGTGGTTAAAGCATTTCCCTAGGAATTGGGAGATATTCAAAATACTCTTTTACTTCAAAACCAGCTATTCTCAGAATAAGGCTTTCTTTCTTTGTCTGGGATCTGTTCCTTTGTGAATGGAAAATGAGGGGACCCTTATTTCTGGAGAATGTCAGCATGAGCGTTGCTCTAAACAGCTCCATCTTTTCACTGCACACATTTTCCTAAGCTTGTTGTTCAGTCTTCTCTCATGCCCAGAGAGGCCAACACTGGCTTGCTTCATTCTGTACCCAAGCTCTAGCTAATCCGTCCTTGCATAACACAAACCACTGCACAACATAACTACCGCGTACAGCTGGCTCCCCCTGCAAGAAACCTGTGCAAACCTGACCTCAAACACAGTGTGGGCAGCTCGGCCAACTTTCTTCCATCAGTTAGTCTGAAATAGAGGACACAGCTCCTTCTTTCTAAGTGAAGTTGATTTCCACACTTCTTAAGCTGAATCAGGTTTGGTTGCCTTTTTTGTAAGGGTAGAAATATTCACACCTAGCATGTGCTGTTTTGGACATTTAAAAAAAAAAAAGCCAAGCCTTCCTCTTTGGAATTAAGGGATATTTTGATGGGAGCTGGAGTCTCCTACTCTTCAGTCAATGGGTTAGAGATATCCAGTCAGTTACAGTTATAAAAATTCAGATTTGGGAGCTATTCAGTGGAAAGGGCACTGGTTGTCTCTGGTCCTGTGGAGAGGACAGCTCTGGTCACTGGTTTTGTTTTCTAACAAGCACATTGGTTTGGGCTGACTTTGAGTCTTTGTCACTGGGGCAAACTGAAACACCACCTGTCTAGTCTCCTCCTGAGCTGTATGATGATGCCCATGCAAAACCCACCCAACCCTATACTATGTCTAGACTATTCTTAGCAGGTGCAATTGCAGTGCATGTAAGCTTTCCTAACTAATGAATATTATGTGATAATCACTTCTGAAACCATTTTTGTCTTAGACAAAATAGCATGAATCCAGCAATGTGAATTTCTGCATGGCCTGCAAACAACCTGGATGAGGTGACAGTGGGATTTTTTTGGTTTGTTTTTTTTTTTCCCAGGCTCCTCTGTATGCACAGTGGCCTATTGCCTGGGCTTTCTGCAAGTCCAGCAGTTACACCTCTGTTGGGGATGATCCATGAAGGAGTCCCAGGGATGAAGTTTTGTGACTCTCATATCATTCTCACTGTGTAAGCATGCTTTGTAGATAAAAAGAAATTTTTAGGCTCCAGCACTGCCTTTGCAGCTATTTTCACAAGCAAAAATTCACATACAAATAAATGAATTGTATCTTTCAGTGAGACATGTAGCTGGAATGAAGAAAATAACTTTTTTTTTGTTTGGATTGATAAAGTCTTCATTCTGTCTTGAATAAGTTGTCCTGTGTGTAGTGAGCTTGTGTTCTGAAGATGAAGCACAGGAAACCAGCAGTATGTCTTCTGGCAATGTCTTCTTACTGGGCTGAATTAAGTTTGGCAGGGCAAAATGAAGACAAACTCTAATAAATACATTTCTGATGATACTCAGAGTTTGAGGGGGGAGGGAGATTTATGAGTTGCTTAACTCTTACTGTTTATTAGCAGGAACTGGACGTATAACTCTCTTTGGGTTTTGGCAGTCTTTCTTTTTAATATTCACTATAGGGGTGTCTTGAGTTAGGCAACATCCATCCTTCTTCCTTGATGGGCTGAATACTGTATTTAGTGAAATTAAGGACAAAACTCTTATTAATATTAAAGATGTCCACTTTATCAGAGCACTTACCTGTATGCATAATGCTCAGAATGAGTACTGAGTATCGATGTGTATACTGACATCCCATTGATGTCAGCAAGACAACCTACATGCTATTAGTCAGGCATGTTTCAGTCCTTTGCAGGAGTAGGTCATAAGTCCAAAGGAGACCATTAAAAGATTAATGAAAGGCATCAGTACCAGCAGTCCTTGTGCAAGGGACTATCCCTAAAAAGCCAATAGGCTTTTTCATTAAATTAGTTCCAAACTCTGGAATCCTCTGAAGGTCAGCTATTGCACTGTTATTTCACCAGACTAGCATTACAGTAAAGAAATGTTACTTTGTAGAGGAAAATACAAGCTCATGTCAAAACATCAAAATGAACAATATCCTTCCCTATGTTTTAATCATGTTGTTGTAAAATGAAATTGTGAGTATTATGTTACACGGCTTTTGATTATCTTGAGATATGTTGTTCAGTTCCAGTAGTGACCTTCTCTCCCTGTTCTTTAAATTACAGATTAAACAAATCAGAAGTTAGAGTTCTTCTTAGAGCCCATCAAGTATCTATAGCTGAAAAAGAACAGCAGATATTTAAGGTTATGTACTACTTTCCCAATCCCCAGGTTGGCAGGTCTTCCAAGGAAAATGATATAATGCTCCTCAAGGTATTGTGTTAATTACTGTTGTATTATTATAAAAGGAATTTTGCTGATGATCATTTTAGCTATTCTTTGATATCGAAAGTACATTGTTTAGATAGTGTGTGAGCCGGCACAGGCAGAATGCAGGAACAACCACAAAATCGCGGATGAAATGCAAAGAGTAAATTTATTTTCATTACCTCACCAACCGGGGGATCCCCGAAGCAGCACCTGGGCAGAGGCACACAAGCAGGGATGCAGGCACTGCGGAGCTTGGTCCATGCTAGAGGATCACCGAACCTGCTGTTTTCGCTTGTATATCAGGGATTCACGCAGGCATAGTTTACCACTGTGCTTTGATCTTTCCCACAGCAGGGCAGGAATCTCAAGTGTGTTCAATAGGGTGCCTCTAAGTCTATCACAGGCTTATGTTATCCAAACGGAGATGTTCTACTTGTCCAACACACAAGGCTAAACAATGATTAGTATGATTATATGTGTTTTTTGACACCCCAGCTGCAAGTCACTTGAGTGTGTTTACAATCCTCCTCGCCAATCTTCCATTATTTTCCCACAGATAGCTTAACAATATCACAGAACACCCTGCTTTTGGTTGTACTAATCTAGATAAGGTTACAGGATCACTGGCACTCTGAGCAGGGATGACATTTCGAGCCCATTCAGTGCTCTAAAACTCTCTTTAACCCACTCACTGCAGCAACCCCTCCAAAAACCCAAAACACGTTCTTCAGTCATTTTTTTGGACTTCAGTAAAGCCTTTGATACTGTCTCTCACAGTATCCTCCTGGACAAAATGTCCAGCATACAGCTGGATAAACACATAATGCAATGGGTGGGCAATTGGCTGAAATAAATAGTAATAGTAAATGGGGTTACATCGGGCTGGTGACCAGTCACTAGAGGGGTTCCGCAGGGATCCATCTTGGGGCCAGTGCTCTTTAATATCTTCATAAATGACTTGGATGCAGGACTGGATGGTTTGTTATCAAAGTTTGCTGATGACACAAA